TTATAATATTTAGTCAGTTGATGATTAATCCTCAACTAATTTCTATGTAGATTATTCGCAGTCACTCAATTTAAAGTCATATTTTTAGACTTACAGATAATCTTTCACATGAATATACACATCAAAATTAAGCATAGTATTTCTAAATCTAAATTTTTCTTCTACAACTAGACTTGTTGCACATGATCCTAAATTATATATTCCTACTAACATTATAGAAACTAAGTGAATAAAATGCAACAACCAACACAATTGGCGCCGGGTTCTATGAGTATTCTTGCTCCCGGTACTTATCCAAATAAATCCATTCCTGGGCCTCAGCATCAAATTCAACTATGTGCCTATCCAGCCTCGCAATTGCATGGACATCCTATGCAAGTTACCAGGGCAATCGCTCCAAATGTGATGATAAGAAATCAGCAACCTTGCAACTCACATGTTATGGAACAGCAAAATTATCCCCATATTATTCAGCAACAGCAACCTCCTGTAAGCGCAGTTCAAGATACTTCTCAGATAGGAGTATCGAACGTCCCGTTCTTAAAGGACCAATTAGTACAGCTTAGAGCGCAAATCAATGCGTACAAGCTTCTATCAAAATCGCAACCTGTTTCTGACGTCCTTTTACTGGCAGCTGAAGGTCGTGTAAATGCGACCGGACAACATCCTTCTCTTCAGGCTCAACAGCAGCCCTGTTTCTTGCAATCCTCACCGAGACAACGACCCGGAGTTCCTATATTTAATGTGGGTGGGCAACCTAATTTGGTAGCCGGCTGCTTTGGCTCTCCTGTAGGATATGGTCCATACGCGGGACCTGCCCAGAATGCTGCATTTCTTGCTTCTAGTGCCCAAGTTATCGGTAGGAACCGTCTCACTCCTCTTCAAAAGCCCAAAGGTCTCGACCCCGTGGAGCTCCTCAAAGAGAGAGAGCAAAGAATTCAGTCGCGCGTGGTTCAAAGGATAAATTTTCTCACTAATTTGAGTGCCTTTATGACTAATGAACAGCGAGTCAATTCGCAAATAGAACTCCGTTCCCTCCGCTTGCTTAATTTTCAACGCCAGCTTCGGCAGGATATTGTTTCATCTATGCGCAAGGACACAAGTTTGGAGACTGCATTAAATGTGA